ATTTATTTATTTATTTTTTTTTATCTAATTTCTATTTTTCTTCTGTTCCATGTTTGTTTTCTTCACAGGATTATGTTCCAACCGTTTTTGATAACTTTAGTGCGAATGTAAGTGTTGATGGGAGGACTGTAAACTTGGGCTTGTGGGATACTGCTGGTATGATTATCTAAATATGTATGCATATATTGTCTTCAATCTGTATGTATAAACGGCACATCAATCTGCAAAGTTATACCCTTCTGGTTTTTCAATATTCAAGCTAATTTTCCATCAAGAAATCGGTTTAGAGAAAAGAAATAATCAGTCGTATTTATCAATTTTCTAATGTTAAAATGTGCTAGTTCTGTTTTCTCAATGTGTAATTTTGCAGTGCCAACACCAAAATAAGGCTTAGTTTATTGTTGAATGTGTGTTCTCCTAGTATGATTTTAACAAAAATTTTGAGGCCTGGGCTCTGTCATTATGATCTGGCAGTTTAATTAGAAAAGAAACTCTTAGGATTTGTGATTCATAATCCAGTGACAAAGTTATCTATAGCATTCTTATCCTATCTTGAATGTCAGATATCTGAATTTCATTTTAGAATGTGAACATCAAATTATCACTTTTGCCAAGCAAAAACAATAATTATCCAGTTTTTTATCGTTAGCAGTTGATATTTCAAGATTTCTATCCTTCATGAGGGAGATTGAAACCATGTTATAAACAAAGATGATCTATATTCTTTAGGTGTTAATGGCATCTTTCGTTTTACTTTGGTAAGTAAATCTTGAATCCTAACATTGGAATGAAACTCATACAAAATTATGGATAGATCCCAGATTGAACAACTCAGGCTCTGATGAAACTCGCCCCATCGCTTTGTTAACGATATGATACTATTAACAAATTTAATCTATTTATGGCAGGTCAAGAAGACTATAACCGACTGAGGCCTCTTAGTTATAGAGGAGCTGATGTTTTCCTACTTGCCTTTTCTCTCATAAGCAGGCCTAGCTTTGAGAACATCTCAAAAAAAGTAAAAATCTCTTTCTCTCAACTTTGAAAACATTGTCAATTGTCAGTTATTTACTTTTTTGATCTTATAGTAATGGCTTCTTCTTTTCCTCGTTTGGTGGAGAAGTGGGTCCCAGAGCTAAGGCATTATGCCCCATCAGTGCCCATTGTCCTTGTGGGGACAAAACTAGGTGAGTATTCTTTATTCTACAAGATTTTATTAATTCTAAAAATGATTGTTGCTCAACATGTTACTTTGCTTTCCTTTGAAGCTTTTCCTCTTTTCTTTTTTGTATTTTGACTGCTTAAAGTTTCTGAATTTAAATCTAAAAAGCAAATACTTTTCTAGTTTTCTCTTTCACTGTATCTCATATCAGGGCCAATATTCATGCAGTAATTTAAACAATTACTTTTAAATTAACTCATTAGCTCGTAATTTGATCTCTTGAGTTACTTAAACATATACATACTCATCAAGGTAGTTGTTTTATGAAAGAAAATGACGTTCTAGGGCCCAGGCTTATAATGAGCAGTTGATAGATGCAAATAAGTACATTTGAATAAACCCAGCAACTTGTAATAGGGATCTTTTTGGTTACTACTTAAAACATATGCATTCTCGTGCCTACAAGTTAGTTACCTGGACCGTTGTTCTGGTTCCTTTTGAAAAGTTGGTTCAATAAAATCAGAGTTCAAATTGTACTAGTAGTAACGGAGGTTAACAAATTAATTCAAGCAGAATAGACAATGAGTTTCTCTATTTTTTCTTATTTTTCCTCCCCAAATGTCTAACTAGATAGGGCACTCTGCCTCACAGATTTACGAGAAGACAGGCAGTTCAAGAAGGATTATCCAGGAGCCTGTACTATTTCCACAGAACAGGTCTATACTTTGGACATATTCATTTTTTACTTAAGGAAAATTCTGCTCTAGGCAGTTCTGTATCACGTTTAGAATAATAATTCTGTCTTTGTACTCTTAAGAAATTTGATATTCTTTTGAATGTTTGTCCATCCACTTTTGCATGCCAAATAAAGGATAACGTGTCAGAAACTTTCAATTCTATATGTTAGCATAACAACTTTAACAGTACTTCTTGAATCCTCTATCACCAACCAGTTAGAGGAAATAAATTTGGCTGGAAAGACGAAAGGAAAGGAAATCTTAAAAGACACCTCTGACGCACCGCTAGAATTGTGTAAAGCACTCACTTTGATGTTGGTTCTTCTGAGGTTTTTCCTCCACTAGCCAAAAAATGGAATGTCTGAGATGGGTTCTATTTACATTGAAAGATAATCGCATATTGAAGATATGTAATGGTAAGTTCCACTTATGTTATAAACATATCCCGTCGAAACATCCTTACCTAAAAGCTGTTAGAGGAGGGATAAGAATATTCATTTAAATTTTATTTTTAACACGCCCCCTCAGGTGCATGCTTATTAAATTTCTCACTACAGTTCTTGTAAGTGCACAATTTTCATAAATATGGTTGGTGGTGAGACTTGAACTTAGGAGCTCTATATGCCCCGATACCATGATGTGTTCCTTACTTTCAAACTCCTTGCTTCAGTACCGCAGCTTCATTAAAGATTTTGATTTTGAATTCCCTATTATTCTTTTAGGGTGAAGAACTGAAGAAGCAAATAGGAGCAGTGGCATATGTTGAGTGCAGTGCTAAAACACAGCAGGTTTGACCATTTTTTCTGGTTTTTCTAAAATCTCAATTCATTTATGGGCCTTTCTTAAACTAGCGAAGTAACAAAGGGCTGTAGAACTTGATAGTTGTACATTCCTACAATTAGCCCAACGAATAAGCGAACTTCAATGTGGATTTGTTGTGTGAAGAGTGCGTTATGACCCATTACCCTTGTTTTGCAAACATAAGAGGAATCTGATCAAATTCTGGCCCTAAACATGTTATAAAAGAAATAGTTTTTTNTTTTTTTTTTTTTTTGAAAAAAATATTGAACTCTCTGGCCACCCCCTGCAGCCTAGGCGTGCACCGGCTGTAGGGGCAGGGAATCCCACAACACAGCCCAGTAGCATGCCCAGGCCATACTTAAGCTTTCGCCTGCCCCTATTTACACATATTGGACTAAAAGATCTGGGTCCCCTACTAATCTGTTCACACACTTCTGTTGAAGTTGTATTAATACCCTTGATTCAGAACAGGTCTTGAATTAGAGAATGCGAGAACTACTTGTAGTTAGTTACAGCATCACAAATATGATATGCTCCAAAATTACCTTAGTTAAACCTCCATGATCCTCCCCTTTAACTTCTATGCATTCAATGGAGAATTGCAGTGTGCGATAACTACTAGAAAGAATCGTCTGTAGAAAATAAAGTTTTATTATCTACAGCCTACCTATAATATGATTCTCCTTTTTTCTCTTGCAGAATGTTAAGGCTGTCTTTGATGCTGCAATTAAGGTAGTTCTGCAGCCTCCAAAGCTCAAGAAACCGAAGAGAAAATATAAAGTTTGCCGCGTACTTTAATCAGATTCGCTGAAGTGCTGACATGTGGTTGCAAGGATGAATATTATGTTCTTTCAATTCTTTTTCTGGTCTGTTTTATCTTTCGTTCTTACTGCATGGGGCCAGGGTTTCATCTTCCCCATCCCCACTCCTCCCAACCACTACTTCCTCCACAACTCCACAATGAAATATGTTAGTTTTTCATATCTTTTGATGGGATCCCAGTAATGTGATTGTAGATGTTATAAAGTGTAGGATCCCTTTTCTTGTTTTGGCTTTTGAGCAATCATGTTTGTAAATGAATGAGCCTGAAAAATTTGACTCGTGTGAATCTATGATTATTTTCACTTTGAAGGTTTTGTCTAGTAAATGCATCATTTACTTATCTAGAACAAATTCATTTATATTGTTCGTTTGAAGGCCATCCATTATTTAAAGAATTGTAAGTATCCAAAATAACGACCTTGTAGAAAGAAAGTTTGTTTTCTATTCTTGATCAAACAAAAATGATCATTTGACTTGTAATTGTCTTAACTTTATGTTCGTGAAGATTACATTTATTTTGATTACAATAAATCTAAATTCGAATGTTACTCCTTGAAAATAAAACAAATAATGTCCTAAGCATTATTGACCCTTACAAATTTGGCGTGTTGAGCTAAGCTCGACGTGATTAAATAAAAAGATAGATCACTTAGCTAAGCTTGAAATTAAAACCAATGTTTAATAAATTATTGTTCCTAAATCACTTAATTTAGTTATTTTTATAGTTGATCAGTTTAAATTATTTGTTTCGTAACTTACTTATTAATTTATTAGTAAATTTACTTTTAAGTAAAATTTGAAGCTTAGGCAAACATGGCCTTCTGGGAAAGGATAAAATTACTCCGTCTACCCTCGACAGCCGACACTCTCGTACTGGCTATTCAAATATCGCATCTCTGCAAAAGGTGATCTCTCTGTTTTCTGCAGATTCATTTGGATTACTTTATCCAAACCCTAGTAGGATGATCTAGGAAACTGCAATCTGAACTTGATCAAGGTTTTCTTTTTCCTTTTCCTTTTTTTTTTCCAGAAAATGGCGACACTGAGGAATCTGAAGATAAAGACATCAACTTGCAAGAGAATAGTGAAGGAGCTTCATTCCTACGAGAAGGAGGTCGAGAGAGAAGCCGCCAAGACAGCAGACATGAAGGCCAAGGGCGCCGATCCCTACGACCTCAAACAACAGGTTTTTTTTTTATATATATATTGCATTTATGTTTGAATCGATAAAAGATTATATTCTAATTTCTAAGATGATCTATTGGAAATTTATTAAATAGGAGTGTAAAATCATTTGGAAATTGGGTTAATCCTATTTTAGATTGGGATAATCGATTCGGTAAACCATATTAACCTTTATAGGATAATTGATTCACAACCTTTTGACATTCTTCTTTCTGCAATACTGCTGCATTTCCTCATTGAAGAGGCTGCTAGAGTTTCTTCAGAAGTTCACAAACTCAAAACAAACATGTACTCACTCTATTGAAAATTTGGATTGTTTGATGACACCTATGGGATTTTCATAGAAAATTGTACTGGTTGTGTACCTTAAAATTGTGCCTATAACAAGACACCTTTCAGTTCATTCGACAATTGTGGTTATATATGAAGTTGGAATCCATGTGGCAGCACTATGGGTCAACTGTGCCCGAGTTATGCCTGTCATTTATTATCACTTTAGCAGCTAGTGAGTCCGCAAAATGCATGGTTAATCGAATGCGTTTCACCTTAGAAGTGAACGCAAATAGTGCATCTTCCTCTTCTTTTTGTGATACACTGCACATTATTATTTGAGTGTGGTTGTGTTTCTATTTACAAGTTATTTTTGGCTAAAGTTCATACCTTGAGGCTTGATTCAAGTTGACCGCATGGCTTCGAAGACTGGAACCTAAGTTGTTCTTTGATTGACAATGGGTGGTTCCCTGAACATAAGAACTTCATGGATCGGACCAAATTATAAACCTCATGGTTTCTTGTTCTCTTCCCATTTGGTGACACATTTTCTTTTGTTGTACTTCTTACAGGAGAATGTGCTAGCTGAATCAAGGATGATGATTCCTGACTGCCACAAGCGCTTAGAGGCTGCTCTGGCTGACCTTAAAGCGACACTGGTAATTTATAACATTGTTTTGAGAGCATTCTGTACTTTTTTTTATATGTATTTTAATTTTGGTGCTTATAATCCTCCTCCATTCCCCCAACCAAAATGAAATGTTCAAAAGAATGACTAAGCTGCAAGAAGATGAAATATAGTAGGATCATGGTCTAAAAAGGCGGTAGTGAGGCGCGCCTCAATTGTGAGGTGCATGTAGTATGCCTCGAGGCGGTATTTTTTAGGCTAAAAATATGAGGCTCACACAGCTAAATCTGAGGCGCGCGCCTTGAGCATGAAGCGTGCGCTTCATTTAAAATTTGATTTTTCAATTGTATGAAAAGAAATTAGAAAGAGCCCATTTAAAAAGGCATTTTGGGCCCAAACAAAATAATAAAATACCTAGAAAACTAAACGGCAGTCCAAACATTTTCTTTCTTCAGGTGGATTATATCTCAATATGCTAATGGCTATATATTCTATTTACTATATGCTCAAACTTTGGTTTTTTTATATTTTTGTATTATTTTATAATTCTTTTACTTAGATTTTTTGTTTTTTGTGAGGCTTACTCCTCGACTCATAAAGAAAAATCGCCTCAATACTTAGTTTCGCCTTTTTAAACCTTGAGTAGGATTTTTTATTTTGGACTAATTACTGTGGGATGACTGCTGACCAGGTAACTTCCCCCCGCATTTTCTTGGTAGGTTTTGTTTACATAAGTTAGAGTTGATTTATATTTTGCAATCTGATAAGAGTTCATTATAGATCATTAAATTCTTGTCTCCGAACATATGTTTACTCGTGTACGGTTCAGCTAGCCCTGCATTTCTTATGATAAATGGAGCATAAGAGGATGGCTGGGTATGTAATGGTACAGTCGGTCAAGGTTGTTTGCCTGGTTTCACTTGGTTGAGGGAGGAGTTCACTAAGGTTTATGACTGAGCTTCATTTTCGGTCAAATTATGTTTTGTGCTGTTTCATTGTTTTGGTGATTTTTAGTATAAGCTCTTCTAGTTTGAACAACAAAATGATGATGATGCTCACTTTTTTTCAATTTCACACTTCCCATCTTATCTCAGAACTCCAAAGCACCCTGCCCCAAAGTCAGCTGCAGTGCAGTGTTGTTGGTCTTCTGTCTGCTTGAAACTAGTTTCTTAAGGCAGTGTACAGTTCATTACGTTTTGCTTACAAACGACTTAATACTTATCAGCCACTACCTGTGCGAAAAGCATATAATCTAATGAACATACAAATCCGTGTTAAAGAATAAATAATAAAAGTTTGAATGCTAAATAAATCAGCGGTCGTAAAGTTATAGAGTTAGAAGGTAAATTACATTACAATAGGTAACTATACTGTCTAGCAGAAAGTATCTGTAAAATGGTTATTTTTAGGGGCAAATGATATATTTTCCATTTTAGTCATTTTGACAAAACAAAAAGGTTTTTAGTATTTTCTTTGTCGAACTTAGGAGTACTTTTATCCGACGAGTACTCTACTTGTTTTTTTAAATTATCCTTTTATCCTAAAGGATTTGAACTCAGTTTATGTTCAAATGCTGTTTTTTCAGTTGCAGTGATATTTAACTTCTCCATAGGAAGGATTTAAGTTTCGATACACTAGGTCCAAGTGTTGATTGCTACATTTGCCTTAACAGATGTGAACAACAAAGTAATCTAGATCCAAGTGTTATTAGATGATGAAATAAAAAGAGAAACCTAGGTCTGAGTTCTACTAGGAAGAGACGTGATTAGTTTAATTCCAACGTCTTAGTCATGACACTACTGCTGTGTGTTTCCCTTAATATACTAGATTTGATTGTCATATAGAACTCATCAATCTCTTAACATTAGTACATGTAAGGATTAGATAAGAAAGGACCTTACGTACTGAGGCATTTCATATTTGCGAGTGACCACTAATCAAGAACTCTAATCGCAGGTTGAGTTGGAAGAGATTAACCAAAAGGACGGCCCTGAAATCGAAGAAGCGCGAACCATCATACCAGAAGTAGAACAATTATTTCAATCTACGGAAGCTTAGTTTATCTGCCCATGCAAAACACGCGCGTGGAATTTGTATAAGGAGCAATTAATGTTTGCAACCTCCTATGGGTTTGGAACATCTTTTACATTTTAGATTTTTTTGCATGTAGGAAATTGAACTTGGAAAATCTGATCTTTTTTTGTGATTTATGTGGATTGAAAATTAAATCTATGCAAAGATCGGCTGAGAGTCGATGACATTGCTCAAAGCTCATGGTAGTGGTCTATTTTAGTAGAAAGTTCATTTTAGTGGTAGAATGTGTTTTTGGGGGTAATTAGCACATAACGTCCCAACTTTTTATTGTTATTGTGAAAAACGTTATTATCTTTCATTTTTTGGCATTTTCACTATTATTTCTACATTTCATTGCGTAAAAAGTCATTTTTTTATCAATTTTTTCAATTAAAAATTGTAAAATGTCGAATATACCCTTCTATTTAAATAAAACAAAAGGAAAAAAAAATTAATTGCAACAACAGTCCTAATTTTTTTTTAAAAGCGCAAATGAATTCCAAATAAATTATTAAAAGAGTAATTAGTACATAATGTCCTTATCTTTCACTATTATTGCAAAAAAGGTTCATGCCTATTATTTTTTAACATTTTCACTTTTAATTACACATTTGATTACGCAAATCATCTTTTCTATTTATTTTCATTCAATTTCTCAATAAAAACCCGTGAAATGATGAATATATTCTCCTATTTCAATAAAAAAAGCTAAACAATTCATTGTAACCATAATCTCAATTTTTTTAAAAAAGTACAAATGAGTCCCCAATAAATTATTCAAAAAATTAATTTAAAAAAAAGTGGAAACGAGTCCCAATTAAATTTATTTAAAAAATTAAAATGTGTAAACGAGTCTCAAATAAATTATTAAAGAGTTAGAAATTAAAAAAAATATATATTTTTTAATTAAATAAGAGGGTATATTCATTATTTCACAATTCGTTATTAAGAAATTGGATGAAAATGGATGGAAATAATGGTTTGCATAATAAAAAAATGTAATTAATGATGAAAATGACAAAAAAAATGAAAGGTAGAGACTTTTTCGCAATAACGAAAAAAGATAGGGACATTATGTACTAATTACCTTTTTAATAATTTATTTGATCTTCATTTGCAATTTTTTTTTTAAATGGGATTATGATTGCAATTAATTTTTCTTCTCTCTTTTTTTTTTTAAAAGAGAAGTGTATATTCGTCATTTCACAATTTTTAATTGAGAAAATAGATGAAAATGACATTTTATGCAATGAAATGTGAAAATGCCAAAAAATGAAAAGTATAAACATTTTTCACAATAACAATAAAAGATAGGAACTGGGAACGTGATGTGCTAATTAGCCTGAATTCGTATGTTCATTTCTTTAGAGATTTGTGTACATGGTTAATTGATTAGTCATCCATAATGAAATTAATGATATATAAATCTTAGGTATTATATAAAGCTGACTTAGGTGGACTGGTCCCTATTTTAATACCTTGTTAATTTCTAGAATGTCCATTATGTATGTGACAATAAACCAACCAGTCTCCTTTCTCACTTATACACATTAACTAGGTTTTTCCACTTCATATATTTCTCAAATAATTCAACATTTATTTCTCTGCAAATGGAGATTTCTACTTTTATGAGTGATAATTCGAAACACAAAATTAAAATATGTAGTACGGAATGCATTAATTTCAATTAGACATTTTTTACAGTTCCTATCAAAATGAAAATTAAATGAGATTAAATTGATTTAGTCAAACATATATTTTAATTAAACTTCCTTTAGGATTTATATATATATATAATCTAATGAGCACCGGTGCTCATTTTATCCTAAGCACCAATGAGTTGGCACATTAATTCATTGGTGGATTGGAACTCACAAAATCTTTATCCACTAATGAATTAATGTGCCAACTCATCGGTATTTAGGATAAGATGAACACCGGTGCTCATTAGATCATTTCTGTT